GAGTGAGCAAAAGAGGAATCGAGTGGATGAGAGTGACATGCATCGTGGTGGCTTTGTGTTTGTGTGTTGTAGACCAAGATCTAGTAGTGGTGTGGGAATGTGGGTGAGGTTTGTTGGTTCCATCTTTTGGAGAAAAGATGGACACTAAGGGGGATTGAATAATGTATATCAAAAACTCGCATGTTTGTATGTACGGGAAATAGTATTTGTAATAGATGAAGAGTTAGAAAGACATAGTGTTTGTTATCATTAAAACTTATGAAAAATGAGAGATTTAAAATCATTTTTTGACTTAACACATCTCTATGAGCGATTTGGGGTTCCCACAATGGTTTCATATAAAAGAATATACTATTTTCCATAAGCAACATAATTGTTTTAAGTGTACCCATTTTCCTCATTAGTCATAAGATTAGGCTTCCTACCAAAATCTTTCAAAAAGCTTTTGTTTTGTCAATTAGGTTTCCATCTTTGATTAATTTTGTGGTGGTGGTGAGGGTGGTTTTATGCTTCTATTGCTTCTAGTTTGTCCAATTTTTGTAGTTTTATGTTCAAATCTGTTAATGGGTATGAGTCCTTTGGAGTCTAAATTTTCAAATTTGTTGAGTTTATCTATTTTGATTCTTTTATTGTAATTCATTCATGTGGGGTGTCCTAAGATCATGGATTTTCCCATATTTCTCAATTGGTTATGTTTCTTTGTTGGATGTTGTTGAATCCTGCCTAAATATATGTTTTAATAATGATAAACTCTTAGTTTCAAATTTTAATATAGAAGAATTCTCATGTGAAGTACTAATAATTTTTTTCAAGTGTTTCAAAATTATTTTTTCTAAGTATTCAAAAGTGTCTAAGCATAACAGATTAGAAGCTTCACAAGATATCATTCAATCTGCTTGAAGTTCCATTTAACACCAAGGCCTTGATTGTCTTAAGCAAGAAGATGAGTATATTGAGTCTTTGTTAAAATAGGTTCAAGATAAAATATTTCTTCTTAGAAGAAATGTCTTGAAGACTTGGCTCAAAATATTTACACTTTGAACCATTTATCAGAAGGTTTCAGTTAAAACACAACTTCTCAGAAGACTTGTATTAAGGACTCTTCTTAGAAGGTTTGAAGAGAATGTATGCCCAGAAGTTATTATCATTTGAAGTAAAAGTTGATAGTACCAGAAATGAAAAATACAATGAGGTTAGCCCTACTAAAAAACTAAGCAAGCCATAATAAATCTATTTTAGCAACTAAAAACAGAAAAACCAAGGCTATAATTTTGAAGCAAGCAAGATAACAGAGAGTGATCAAACCACAAGCTATCAAAGCTACAATCTTTACTTCATACTCTAATTATTTAGAAATCCCCACTTAAGTATTTGTATCAATCTTGTAATAGAAAAGTAAAGTATGAATCTTACTTAGTGGAAGCTCCAACTTAAAAGAACTTGTTATAATCTTAGTAGAGAGCTAGGATACAAAACCCATTTCTTTAAACAACCTTTCCTACTTAGATCTAAGTTGTAGAGGTGTAGTAAGAAAGAAAGTAATCACAATAGTGGTTGTGTAGTCTCATAACAGGTAGTTGTGAGGTTGGTTTCCTCAATGTTATTAAGTGTGAAATTTCAACAGGTGGCTAAATGTGTATCACTAACAATTGGTGGTTGTGTAGTGGTGTGATTGTATTAACAGGTGTTCGAGTTATTCTTGAATAACAGTTGATTGTAATAGTGAAAATCTCACAAGCTTTTGTGGAGACTAGATGTAGTCCAGGTTGGGGTGAACCAATATAAAATTGTGTGAAATCTCTCTAATTCTATCTCTTACTTGCTTCATTTACTTCACTACATGTTATATCATATTGTTGCATAATCTGTTGTGAAAAAAATATTGTTTAGACACTATTTTTAGAAGAATACTCTAAGTTTGAATACTTAGAAAGTTACCTTCTAAATGACAGATTTTCATAAAGAATTGGTTTTTAAAGAACACAACAATTCAACCCTCTCTCTTGTTGCCTAACATTCACTTTAATTGGCATTAGAGCTTGGTTTCTAAAAAACTGAGCACACTTTGTAGTGTAGGAGAAAAGATTTGAAGAAGTGATGGTTGTGCAATATCCAACAATGTTCATTCCAGAAGGAGCTTCAAAAAATAGACCACCAGGCTTTGATGGAAAATACTATTATTACTAGAAAGACAAAATGAAGCTATTCTTGGATTCACAAGATTTAGATATACTAAAAATAGTAGAAGAAGGACCATACATACCAAAGAAAACTTTGGATATAGGAGCCATTGTAGCAAAACTAAAGCAAGAGTGGGATGTTGATGAAACTTCAAGGTGTTTTCTTTAATGCAAAATCAAAATTCTACCTCACTTGTGCACTAAGCAAAACAGAGTATGACAAAGTTAGGGAATGCACCACAGTGTAGGGGAGATGTAACTAGCTAAAGTCATATGAGATTTATTGGGCTTAGATGGGCCAAGATTTTATTTAGGCCATGACTTGGACTTCCACTTGCACAAGCAAGTAGTTTGGACATCCAAACCATGCTAGATAAGTTATCCAAGTAGTTAAGTTGTCACATGACTTTTGATAGTGACATTTCAACAACTTATATCAGTAATCATTAGTTTGTTAGTTGTAATGATTAGGTTAGATAGTTAAAGCTAAGTTAAGCTAACCTAGGTTATTTTTATAGGATTACCTTGACTTATTCCATAAGCTTCCATACATGTAACTAGAGTTGGTTAGCATGAGTACAAGATAACTAACCTTGGTTACATTTAACTAAGGTTAGTTTAACTTGCACCATAAGTCAACCAAACTCTATATAGTTTCCTGATGTACTTGGCCGAACCACTTTTGGATGATATATGAATAAACTTTTGAGTTTTTCTCTTCTAAAAGTCTTAGTTACCTTCCTTAGAGAAATCACTTTTTAAGATCTTTTATCAAGGAATTTCTTCTTATGACAAGATCTTCACCTCTTGTTTATCTTTATCCTAAAGGAAATGGCGGCATACATATTTCTCATATCCACCATCATTTTGGGTTTCTAGAACCTTGTTTCATCCATGAAAGAAGATTGGGCACAACAAGGAGACTAGTGGAGGGAATCACCAACAATCTCTCCATCACTATATCAATGTTTAGGAAAGAGAAATTATGAGTTGATTGTTAGCGACTTGAGATGTATAAATGATAGTGATGCCTGATATCAATAACGTAGCAAGACTATTTATGTTATAAATTTAAATGCTCAGTTTGATGTTGATCTCCTAGTGGTTGTGGTTGAGGTATTAATATATGATTGGATGATTTCATAATGACTATATTTGAGGTGTTATCAAATGAAGTTATGGACAATGTTATGTTTAAACTATGAACTTGTAACTCTTGTGTGATACAATGTAATGTGCTTGTGTGTGAACCATGTGATGATCATGTAGTGTGAAGTCTAAGTGTAGGCTTAGTTGGGATAAAGTCTGAGTGTCATTGCCTAACAATGTTGTGAATGTGATATAAAGTGTGAACTTGTAATGATGGAATAAAATGATTTGTGCATGGAGTCTTGCATAACATGCATCATGAATATAAGTGTTTTGTGATGGGTATGATATGGAATACAATAACAAGGGAAAGTCCCTCTGTGAGCTTGAGGATTCATGACCTTTAGGATAATTAGGTTTGGGAGCCTCAATTTTTCCATTTTATGTGCATGGGGTGAAATATGGCCAACATTGTTGTCCTAACGCGCCCTAATGTATATTCTTCTATTGTAGAGTGTTGCAATGACTTGACCTTACATGTTCTTGTAAGGTACTTTATGTGTGTCTTCGAGCAAGGTGAAATGTTTTACTTGTCCACATGCATATATTTTAGTGAAGTTTGTGTCCATTGCATTTGTGTGAATCATGACTTATTAATAAGTTGAGACATTCCTAAGTCTTCTTGGTTGTTTATGTTGTTTTTATATATGATTTTGTCATATCTTGTTTGTGTGTGACTATTTGACTACAACTTACACCAGTAACAAGAGTGAGATGTTTCTCACTTCATTTGTTTTTGGTGTCTTTATATGTGTTTCATAGGTAAGGTGA